CTCTGAATTAGGCAGGTATATTTCCTATGCAATGTAGAAAGAGACAATGATATTTAAGAATGGAAACCACAAAAACTAGAACGTTGAGCAAAAGAGAAGTCAGAAATGCTGTAACTGGACGTAAGGGTCTTGCTGTTACACTGTCCCAGGATCCTGTTATGCTGATGTGCTATATGTGAGATTACTAATATAGGGACCTCAAAATTATTGAACTAGTTGAAGATCTTCTGTGCAAAAATAAGCACTGAAGGTCTCTTTCAGCAGATAGGCGTCTCCTGTTCTGTGCTAGGAACCCTGCTCAGCAGTTAGGTGCCTAAAGCACAACAGAAACCAGGCTGTGGTGGTTTTCTTTTCTGTTTCCTACCTGTGAAAAAAGAAACACAGCACCCCAATCTTACAGTAAGCAAAGGGCTTTCACCACAAAGCCTCACCATAGTTCAAGTCTCTGCCTCAGGCTGAGCAAAGCATCAGTGTGACCCAGTTCCCATTACTCACGTGGCAGCGCAGGTGAATGAACATATACCTTCTACTGTGGGGAAAATTTATAACTTGATAAATCTTTTTGGGGGCTATTAGCATTTCAGCTTATTTTAAATTCATGAACACATCATTATGAGGCGTGTGAACCCTGCAGACTGGCACAATCTGAGGTGCCCTTGCTCAACATGGCAGTTAAAAAGTGATTTTTTTTTTTTTTTTTTTTTTTTAAAGTACCCAAGGGGTTGATATAGACTATGACTCTAGTGTGCAATGCAGCTTTATTCCATGACATCCAAGTTATCCCTTAGAGATGTGACCATATTGCTTCTTGGATCCACATTAATATACTTGTATTTTGTAGTCTGGACATCCTAGTTAGGTATCAATCACTGAGGAGGTATCCTATACTAACTTGGTCATGTATGTCGTGGAAATGGCAGCACAAAGTAGGGGCCCAACAAGAGAAGGGTGATGTGCTAGTTGGTTGTTAGTTGAACCAACCTCCCAGTGGCCAGGTTAGGCTGATCTTTGCAGGTCCTGCTTTAGTATCTTTTTTTATTCCCTGTTACCCAAGGAGTTGGAAAAACATCCAACAGAAGATCTCATCAGTTAAAGGCTTTTCTAGGTAAGAGCAGTTCAGGTATGTAGAAGTTCATGTCAGTTAGAAGCAGTGGCAGGAAATACAACTCTTTCCTCTTTCTGCCAGTCCAGATTCTTTCCAACAGTCCAGATTACCTTTCAGGTGTATCAGCATTAACTATATCTTTCTCTGCATAATCTATTCATAAATCTTTGCAGATTTTTTTTCTCTCTTTTTTTCTTTTAGGTATCCTAGTTATTAAACAAGAAGAAGATGAAGAAGGAGCAAACTGACGACACTTTCTTGTTGGGTATTTAATTATTTAAGTAACTCCAGATAGCTTGGCACATAGAACTTTTATATAAATGTTTGTTTTGAAGAAAATCTTTGGGCAATTTTTTTAAAAGACCAGCTTATCTCCACAGTCTGTCACCCAAAGAGTTAGTTACCAGAATTTGGGCACACCAATTTTGTCAAGCTTACGACACCTTCTGTAGAGACCAGTGGAGCTGAGTTTATCTGCTGTTTGGCTAGCAAGAGATCTTTACCTAAACTAATACATAGCTATTTTTAATCCCTGATTAGTGGTGCTTGTTATTCACTCTTGGGTTATAATAGAACCATTTTAGCTTGTTAGGTGCAGCTGGCCAACATTATGATTGGAAACACTGAGGCCAGAAAAACAATGTTGTGGTTTAGAGACACGCTACAGGCTTTGTTGTGTTTTATTTTGTCATGGGAATCCCTCGAAATTTTAAATATGGGAGTTTGCCTTTTCATCCCCTTAACTGTTATGCCAAACAGGCCCAGTAGTTGTGGACCTATGCACAAAAAAGGTATTGGTCTGATGATCGCTTGTTACTGGCCTTAAGTTCTGAACTGGGCTTCTCGCATTGGAACTCAACTGCATTGCTTAGAAGGCCATGTATAACTTATATATTTATTTATTTTAAAGAGGCAATGGGAATTCTTTGCATGGTTTCAGTGAGACTAAAATATCTGCTAGCTTTTTTTTTGTCTCTTACTAAGACATTATTTTCTATTAGAATACGTGGCCTATTAGCCTACAGCTGGTTCCTAGTTTTTGTTTGGGTCACTGGTGGACGTAATCCTTCTCAGCTCTGGAATTTTCCTATAACTAAGTAGGCTGATACTAATACAGAAACAAACAGTGAACAAAAGACCTGGGTTTGAGGACAGAAAATTTCGGGTTTGGGGATACTCATTTTTTGTGAAAGCACAGATGTAAGCAGTGAGAGAAAGTGCATGTAGTTAGTGGGGAAGGCGAGATGAGATGGAAAGTGAGAATTGGAAAAAAAAGTATTGAAGATGTACGAAATGTGCTATATTGCAGGGTAACCAGTTTTAGTAAAGCCCCCTTGTATGTCAGGTAACTATTTTTAGTTAAAAGCATTAAACAATGATGAAGACATACCTGATTGCACTGTTGGATGCCAATAGTGGGTTTTTTCTTCTTCTCTTTAGAGAATAGATCAAGTCACCCGAGTACGTTTTTCTGCAGCTTGTTTGTTTTTTTTAAAAGCTTTTCTTCTAATTCATGGTACCATCTTTGTTCAAATTAAAATGGTGACAAGCGTACCTGCTGGTTCCAGACCAGGCATAGAAGGGATGGAGGCAGAACACCACTCAATTATTTTGTTTGTGAAGGAGTGGCAGGAGTTGAAATCTTGGAAGTCATGGTCAGAGATAAAAAGGTAGAATTGGCCCAGACAACAGTGGTATTGATCTCAACTCCAGGTATAATTGCAGCAGAAGAGAATTCTCTCTCTAATCAATTTCTAGGTGAACAGTGTGAAGTAGATGATTACAAGACAATCACAGTTTAGATTCAATATATTGCTAGTTATTCCATGATTGTTAAAGCAATTCTTAAGCATTCCAACTTACATTGGCAATTGCTGATAAGGCTTGAGTTTGATTTAAATTCATTACTTAAAATAAGGTCAAGAGAGCAACAGCAAAAACTATGGACATTCTTCACCTAGCACAAACTATTTCCAGGCAGCTGTTCTCTTGACCAGAAAGCAGTTTCTTAGTTAACTAGCCCACTGGATTTATCTTACAGACAACTTTATGTTTTTACGCAATTTCTTTTAGAATTATTCTCCTAGCTTTATCATTAGTAAAGGCACCATTGACCAAGAAGCACAATGGGAGAGAGGGTGTACAGTCAACAGCCATTTCATACCGGCTTCTTTTAAAACTAAGCCATCCAGTTCACTTGCAGCCAACCACTGTCGGCAAAGCGGACGTGCTTTGGCAGTACACAGCCTGTGGCACACTCGGCCCCGACCGACCCCGTCTGCTGTGGTGGGGCAGCAGGGGATTGGCTTGTGCCCTTGACAACTGTAATTAAAGTGTGTTTAACGTGAGCCAGAGCTTGAGCGGGGCAACACTTGACTTCTGAACACTACCAACAAACAGAGATGCCAAATTCATCTGTGTTTGGAGACATTTTCAGAACGGACCATGCAGCGCTCTTGTCATAGCGCTTGGCCACACAGCAAGGCTTTGAACCTCTGTAGCTGGTCTGTCCTAGCACGAGGTCTGCAAGTATGGTACGTATGGCTAAGTTAGCGCCTCAAATGAAATGTGACAGGAGAGCGAGATAGCGATGAGCACGCAGTCCAATGCCAAGTAATCCTGCTGGTTGATTTTTTTAATACCTAAATATGGTCCAATTCTGTACGTTTCTGAAGGTCATGTTAGATACAGCAAACACTCTACTTTGGCTATTTTGGGACATTCCGAGAGCAGAATAGAAACTTAAGTGTTCTGACTACGTAGTGATGACTGGAACGAAACACAGCTCCACTGACAAGACATGAGGGATGCGAGCAGTTCCTGGCTCTTGTAAGTGACCAATACAGGCTATACGTATGGGAATCAGTCCAAGAACTACTGCAGTTGTTCGCAGAGCTGTGTGTATTGTGTGGCCCACTGTCATCAGCTTTTTTCACCGATTAACAGCACAAATTCTCTATCTCTTTTTTTGGGGCTGCATTATAAATACCACCAAAAAAGAAAAAAAAAAGGAATGGGGCATGAAGTCTTAGCACAATTATAACAGCAGTAAGGGACACTTACAAGATTTCCCTTCCCTTTCACCCTTCATAAATTAGCATATAATTTAAAACCTTTCTGATCAAAACTGTATGCAATCTCAGTGAAACAATACAGTAAGAAAAGAATAAACCGTGGCTCTCATTTGTCAGGAGATGCTTCAGCATCTCCTGGGTGGAAGGTTCAAGCTTAATGTTGCTTTGCCTGATCAATCCTGAATACTCTCAAGAACAAATCAACCCCCCCTGAACTTTTTCTCCTCCAAAATAAGTAATGTTTTCTGAAATTTTAAAATTTGCACTTTATAATTATGCACTGGATGTGGTGGAAGACATACACAGGTGGTAGAATTAAAGCAGCTGATTTGCATATTGATGGTGCTACACCATGTCATGTATAAGCTAACAGCGAAGCTCAGCCTGCAGGCCCATAGGGAGCAGCTGAGTAAAATGTTGAAAGGCTTGTCTTTCTGTATTACTTTTTGCTCTTCCCTATCTCACCACATCCAATAAAGCCGTAAGCACATTATTATTCATGGATGAAAAGAGCACCCATGTAAAACTTGCAAGCCATTGTGGAATTCTGCTTTCCCCAGTGAAATTATGGAGGATTAGCATCCACTTTATTCCTTAGAAAAATACCCTAAAATTAAATTAGCAGTAGGAAATAGCTAGGTTTTTTACTTGCTTGTTAGCACACTGACCTCTCTTCAAAGAGCTGATGTATGCAGTGATTACATTGAGAACTGCTGGAAAAATGTGAGCAGAGACCTGAGAACCAGTAGATGACTCAGGTTACACTAGAAGTAGACTCCTCTAGAAAAATCTTCAAGCAAGAGAGCACTTTTAACATCCCCTTTGGCTATCTTTTGTATACAGTAATTTTGTAGCATGACCAAACTGTTAAATTTGCTGTGTTTAAATTATTTAGGCCTATGTTTATAAATGTTCTTCTGTGAAACTTGTTTAAAAATAATATAACATTATTTTATACAAACGTCTTTGGCTGTTGTGTAATGAAATAGTTCAGCTTGTGGAGAGCGTTCAGAAATTCAATTTTGTTCTCATTAAACTTTCCTAGCTGCTCAGGGAGCAATGTATTTATAGTATGTAAATGCTGTTCCTTATTGCCTCTACATTTTAGAATAGAAAATAACTTGGACTTTAAAAATGCTGATATATTGTGATTTTTGTCATCCGATACATAAATATTTTTCAATCTTTTAAGACATTGGTTGTCAGAGTTTGTTCTTAGGTCCTAAGAGGAAAGTCTACTACTGCTATATGGGGAAAAAATCCAAATAAGTTAAATAAATGGCTAGTCTTTCTTCAGTACAAAATTACTAATTCACTTTGAATTTAAGTTCTGTTAACAGCAATATACCATCAATTTCATTAAACCAGGAAGGATTAATAAAATTCTGTAATAGAAACTTTAGCCTTCAATAGACAGAGTCACTGAAATGTAATTTCAAAACTCAGATACAAAGAAAAAGCTTTCTACCCCACAGCAGTCGGTCTCAATAATGACAAGAATAGCACCCTGCAATGACAGCCACAATGCTATTTGAAAAACATACAGGGAATTACTGCGGAATTCCTCACACTACCACTAACTCAAAGCTTACAAATCACTAAAATGCTTTATAAGGTCTCTTTCAGTAGTTGAAGACTTCCAGAAGCTTGGGCTTGGATCCACCAATTAAAAAAAGATGAAAACCAAAAATGCCCAGAACTTGTGACTTTTTTGATGATCCAAAGTTTGTTTGCATGGCTTCACAGTTTTAGTACAAAGTAGTCAACCTTTAGCACTTTTGCCAGTTGGCTTTGATAGGGAGGCAAATACATTATTTAAAGCCTTAAAGAAACTCGTGGTTTGCTATCTGAAGCGAAGGCCCTGTCTCTTTTGCTCACCGAGCAAAATACCGCTTACTTCTCCAAACGCTATTGCTGATCAACAGCCACATCAGTAAATTAAAGTAATACTTTCTACACTGAGCTGAAAAGAGCGCATTTTAATGTCTTGGGCTGAGTCTTTCTGCTGCCAGCTTTGCCAAGAATATTGAAATGAAAATTTGTCAGCATAAATTATCAATTAAAAAGACGACCGGTGTGCCACCTTAGATTCTAACTAAAACTTAGCAGGAGGCCAGTCAGACACTGATACACATTTCTACCATCTGCTTTATGTAGTGAAACATTTGCAGTTTTGAAGACTTCACACCCACAGGCGTGAGAAACAGTAGCCTAGTTAACTAAAAACAGTTAACTACCAAAACAGAAGGAACCTTTGTTTTGAAGATGGATGGAAGCATATTAATATTTAAAATCCACAGAAAGAGATCCAGATGCTGCCAGAGGAAATGAGATTAGCGCTGTATAACAAAGTATGTTTAAAAACTCCTCAGACTCAGGTAACAGACAAGTGCCTTTAAGACAGTATTTACTAAAACTTTTTTTTAAACTCTGCCATTGAAAAATGCGATGCAGTATGATTAACAACTGGAGTCACT